CCTGGCAACTATCATTCTACTTTCTGTCTATATAAATTTGACTACTCCAAGGTGGAATCATCCAGTATTTATCCTTTTGTGAGTGGCTTATTTCACTTCGCATAATGTCCTCAAGGTTCATCCATGTTATAGTGTGTGTTGGAATTCTTTTTCCTATTTCTTATTGTGCTAAAACATACATAACATATAATTGACTGTCTTAACCACTTTTAAGTGTATAGTACAGCAATATTAACTATACGCATATTGCGGTACTACAGATTTTTAGAACTTTTTCATCTTATAAATTTTTTTTTTTTTTTTTTTTTTTTTTTTGAGACGGAGTTTAGCTCTTGTTACCCAGGCTGGAGTGCAATGGCGCGATCTCGGCTCACCGCAACCTCCGCCTCCTGGGTTCAGGCAATTCTCCTGCCTCAGCCTCCTGAGTAGCTGGGATTACAGGCACGCGCCACCATGCCCAGCTAATTTTTTGTATTTTTAGTAGAGACAGGGTTTCACCATGTTGACCAGGATGGTCTCGATCTCTTGACCTCGTGATCCACCCGCCTCGGCCTCCCAAAGTGCTGGGATTACAGGTGTGAGCCACCACGCCCAGCCTCATCTTATAAATTTGAAACTCTAGTCACTGAACCACAACGCCCTTTTTCCGCCTCCTACAGTTCCTGGCAGGCACACTTCTACTTTTTGTTTCACGTAAGTGGGATTATGCAGTCTTTTTCTTTTATGACTGACTTATTTGACTTAGCATAGTGTCCTCAATTTTCAGGGAAGTTGTACCATATGACATTGTTTCCTCCTTTTTTAAGGCTAAAATAATATTCCATTGTACGTATATAGCACATTTTCTTTGTTTTTGCTTGTTTTTGAGGTTTTGTTGAGACGGTCTCATTCTATCACCTAGGCTACAGTGCAGTGGCATGATCTCGGCTCACTGCAACCTCCTAAGCTCAAGTGATCCTCCCACCTCAGCATCCCGAGTAGCTGAGACTACAAGTGCATGCCACCATGTTTGGCTAATTTTATTTTTTGTAGAGATGAGATCTCACTATGTTGCCCAGGCTGATCTTGAACTCCTCAACTCAAGTAATTTTCTTGCCTCAGTTTCCCAAAGTTATGGGACTACAGGTGTGAGCTACCATGACTGGCAGTACACCATATTTTCTTTATCCGTTTATTGGTCCACGGACATTACGTTGCTTCCACCTTTTGGCGATTGTGAATAATGCTACAATAAACATGGTTGTGCAAATAACTCTTCAAGATCCTATGTTCAATTCTTTTAGATATATTCTCAGAAGTGGGACTGCTATATTATATACTGATTTTATTTTTAATTTTTTGAGGAACTTCCATACTATTTTCCATAGCAGCTGCACTGTTTTACATTCCCATCAATGGTATACTAGGGTTCCAATTCTCTACATCCTCACCAACACTTCTGTGATTTTTCTGTGTGCTTTTTATAGTAGATCTTCAAATAGTCTAGATATTAACTCCTTACCAGATATCTGATTTGCAAATATCTTCTATGGGTTGACTTTTCACTCTGTTGATGTTTGTCCTTTGATGTACAGTTTTTAATTCGATATAATCTAATTTATTATTTTTTTCTTTTGTTGCCTGTGCTTTTGATGCAATTTGGTGCCATCCAAGAAATTATTGCCAAATGCAATGCCATGCAGCTTTCCCCTACATTTTCTTCTATGAGTTTTTATAGTTTTAGCTCTAAGTTAGCCTCTTTCATGGACTCTTAACTATTCCCTCTTACTGATTTGAAAATTTCGCACTTAAGTTTGAATTATATATTAAAGATATTCCCCTCTGAAATTAATGATTGAGGTCTACATATTTGAGGTCAAAAGGCCTGTGTAGTTTCTAAAAGAAATATGCTGTAACAACATGCAGACATAGATTCTAATAAAAATTATTTGCTACTCTTGAATTATTTGCTACAACTTGCACTTTAAATGATAGAAAGGATAATTGAATGGCCAGGTGTGTGGCTCATACCTGTAATTCCCACACTTTGAGAGGCCGAGGAGAAGGGATCACTTAAGGATAGGAGTTTGAGTCCAGCCTGGACAACACAACAGCTCATTGCCACATAAAGTAAAAAAATTATCTGGGCATGGTGACACATGCCTGTAGTCCCAGCTACACAGAAGGCTGAGGCAGGAGAACCACGTGAGCCCAGAAGTACAGGGCTGCAATGAACCATGACTGTGCCACTGTATTACAGCCTAGACCACTGCACTTCAGCCTGTCTCTGCACTTCAGAAAAAAAACCAGATAACTTAAAAAGATAAAAGAAGGAAAAATAATCAAAAAACAGAGAAGTAATTCTCTCAGTGATAAGGGTAACATTGGAATTAAATCTTACCAGGTCTAGTTTTAAGTCAGCAACTCAAACAACAGCATAGGTTCTTTTGAGAAATTTAGAAATTTCAACTTAGGGTTGCTACTTAAATAAGGCATTGAGGCCCCTGTACCAAAGGCGCTCTCTCTGATGTAATTTTACAACTTTTCTATTTGCCTGTTAAAATTTTGTCTTCTCCATCCTCCATCGTTGCACTTCTTAATGCTGTCATTTTTTATGGCTACCTTATTATTACTCATATAGCTGGCACAAATGCCTAATGGTACCTGTGTAGCTAGGCACCAACTTAAGAAGTCTGTTTTCTGAAATAATGTTTATTCACGACGACATCTTGAACACCTTCTTTGTGCAAGACACAGCAAGAAATACAAAACTGTAAAACCCACCAGGAGTGTCTTCTTAACTAGACCCGAACAGGCCACAGTCAGTATCATATTCACTTAGAAGGATACCCGCCTGGAAACAAAGCATACCAGCAGGGGAGCATAGGGCATTTCTCCTCCAGGGAACATCTCAGCAGGCCACACAGCCAACAAAGACCTAGCTCTCTTTTAGCCCTCCAGATGACAGCTCAGGTTCAAGGTAGCAAGACTCACATCCAGTGGGTTTGAGAAGATATGTTGGAAGATAGTTCATGACTAGATCATAGCTTTGAATGACAATATAAGACATATAGGCTTTTATTTTTTACTATGGATGATTTCTGAGCAAGGCGTTAGCATTGATTGAAGCTCTAGGACTATTAATATTGGCAGCAGTACATAAGAGAGCTAAAAGTAGAGAGAGACCGGAGGCAGAAAGACTATTACATTCTGTTGGTGGAATAATATTATTAATAATTATAATGATAATAGCAGTAGCCAGTAATTTTTCTTGGCAACTTGACATTTGCCAGATACTGTTCTAAGAATTGTTCATGTATCAAGTTCTCATAACAATCCTATAAAGCACATTAGGTACGAATATTGTCCCTGTTTCATAGATGGGAAAACTGAGGCAAGGAGAAGTCAAATAATTTGCCCAGGGTCTCACAGTCAGTAAGTGGTAGGAGCAACATTTGAACCCAAACAATTGGAGCGTATACTTTTAACCACTCAACCACACCACCTGTCAGAGTATACTATGTGTACTCACACTGTCTAAAATTCTGGAAAACCCCTTAAGGAAGGGTTCACTCCTCCCTAAGAAACCTTATAATGATGAGGCTGACAGTTGTGAGGCTCAGCAACAACACATGTGGGGATACCATATGGGAATAAAAAATGAGATCGTAAAGAGTGATTAGCACTTCTTTATTCAGTGCCTACCAAGCATCCAGTATTCTTCACACATCATCTCATTTAGTCTTCACAGCAACCTATGAGGGAGTATTATTTTTAATCCACATTTTTTCAGAAGAGGAAGCCTAGGCTCAGAGAACTTTTGCCTTTTGCTCTCATTACAGAACCAGTCAGTGACAAAGTCAGCACTGGAATCCAGACCCAAACCAATCCATGTTATCCTACGATGAGGGCATGGAATGATGGAAGAGGGATACTGCCAGCCTGGAAGGCTACAGTCCCCCTGCCTTCAGAAGGCTAGGATCCCCAACTGAAAGACTCTGGAGCCATGCTAACATGTGCAGAGCTATGATTCCAGCCTGTCTGTCCACCCAGCTAGAAGTTGTACCCACTGGATACTTGGGTCAGTCCTTGTTCCAAAGAACCAGCACTAGCCTGTGGATCTGGGTAGGACCAACGCAGCTCTGAGGATTCCTACACACTAAATACAAGCATAAAATCTCAAGGAAATTTAAAAACATGTAAAAAAAAATTTACAAAGGGTGGTTAAAAAAAACAAACAAACTATTCTCTAAAGAGAAGTGAAGCAAATCATGTGGACCTGAGGATGGTACCTAGAGATAAAAAACCTAAGAGAACAGAGCTAAATTTCAGGAAACAATGTTAGTTTACTCAGCTAATTCTCATATGTTTAGCCTCAAAGTTTCTCACAATTATTCTTAAAGATCTATGACATTACATTAAATTTAAAGAGCAGAACACAAAATTATATACACACCGACTCAGTGAAAAAGTACTGATGGTGGAATTTTAATTTCTACTTATTTTTTCTGAACCTTTCAAATTTCCTATAATATATATAGTTACCTTGCTAACCAGGGGTAAATATACACACACACACACACACACACACACACACACACACACACACATAATTTCAATATATAAATTTGTTTTTATTTACATATATATGTATGTATATAAGTGAATTAAAATACTTTCAACCAATACTTGGGAAGGAGGAACAAAAAACAAATTTTACACAGAGTGGTTTAGTAATTTCCAAATACTCAACAGACTACATCAAATTCACCTGAGATATTATTTAAAAAATACAAATTTCCAGAGTGCAAAGACCCACTCAGTCAGAATTTCATGGGATGGGCCCAGGAATCTGGAGTTTAACAGCTCCCTGGGTGACTATAACATCTTTTAGCAAGAAAGTCCAAAATTACTTCGACTCTCTAAGGTTGCTTGATAATTTATTTAACACTAGGGAAAATTTATATTTAACAAAGAGAACAAAGTGACAGGACATAGATTTGGATGGCCTAATATCTCACCATTCATCTCTGCAAACTTCTGAACATCACTCAGAGTTTTCAGTTCTTGCCTGGGACATGCTGCTACACACAGTGCAACAGACTTAATCTTCCGGTTTATCAAGTCCAGGTTGCAAGGATCCAAAAAGAATACATACCTAAAGCATGGAGAAAAAAAACTGAGATATTATTTCACAAAACACATTGTGGGTCACTGTATATTTGACTAAGCCTAGGGCAAAGAACATCTATTCCACATTCCTCCACAATAAAAATTTCATCATGAATACATTTTTAAAAAATTGCTTATAAACAGACTGTTAACAGTGGGAATAGGGGAATCATAGGATCATAATTTTCATGATCTATTTTTCTAACATTTAAGTGTTTGTAATGTGCACATGAAGATTTTATAATCAGAAATCATCTATTTTAATTTTCTTCAAATCATTAATTTTTTCTTATTTTGTCAAACTTGCACCAAAAAAATTACTGGAATATCATAATACTGCTATCTAGTACAGCATGAATTACAGTTCATATATAAACTGTAAACTTTAGTTAATAAGTGTAATTCATTCATTATATATAATTCATATAAACAGAATTATATAATTCCAAAAATGAATATATACTATATATAGCAATTAATATATACAACTGAATATATAAAGTTAAATGGAGACTAGAGGGAAATACACCAACATTTCAACTACAGTCATCTCTAGGTGTTAAAATAAAGGGATTTTTAATTTACTTTATTTTACCTTTTGGAATCCACATCTTCTAGAAAGAATGAAAATTACTTTTGAACTGCTATAACTCCAGTAAATACTGTTTATTAATGGTTTAAATACTGTCCATTACAGATAGACAAAATAATCCCCAAGACTGAAATTATACCCTTTAAGTCCTGTATATGTATATTTTAGGAAAGGGAAGATTAATTAGAAAGCACACTAAAGCAAGTATTTTTAATGTTATAAAGTAGATGAGATGATAAAGATTATAGATGTTAACATCTGCTCAAAGAGAAAGTAAGGGCTAAACATTCTCAAAGATAAGCTAAGTACAATATTACAGATCAAGGAAGGGAATACAAGAAGGAATGCTTCCACCTAAAATAACAGTTAAGAATCTCCAGCCAGCGTTCAATTCCACTGAGTCCATAAGAAGTTTTATAAAATCATGCATCTGTCAATAGCCTTTCACACAGTTAAACTCTGTGTGAGTTTCAAATCTGGAATGGGAAATATAACCAAATATAAAAATTAGGCAAATAAACTGAAAAGCAGAAAAGGTAAAGTCAATACATATGCTGAAATGGAAAATATAAAGAGATACCAGGAAAAAAACAGTAAGTAGGAAAAAAAGGCGGAGGGTGGGAGGACTACTACAGAGGCCTTTGCAGATCAAGTAACACTGAACACTTCAGCACAGCAAGGGGACTGGGAACCCAGCATGAAGGTCGGGTATAACTTACCAAACTAAAAAGCAAAAAAAATTTTATATATGATCCTATCAGTGACTCCAAACCCGTTAATGTTCTGTCTATACAAACAGAAGGAAAGAAAAAAAGCCAGGCAGAAAGATGTGGTTTAGAAGTAGGTTTTGTGGACTGCTTCCATGGCTGATACAGAGAATTATTTCGGGCAACTTTTGAGTGGAAACAAGCATGACCTTAGTAATTCTCCCTTCATCTATCCTGGGCATCTGACTAAGCATGTCTATGCCGGAGACCCTGTATAATGAATTGCATGAAGATCTTGGACAGGGAACAATCAGGACCTTGAGAACCTTGAGAAATGTGTCATAAAACCTTTGAATCAACCACTACAGCTACTCCACCACCATCACTATCATCACTACCATTGCCATCATCACCACCATTACTACTAAGAATACTTTTTTTTCCTTTGAGACGGAGTTCCGCTCTGTTGCTCAGGCTGGAGTACAATGGTGTGGTCTCAGCTCACTGCAACCTCTGCCTCCAGGGTTCAAGCGATTCTCCTGCCTCAGCCTCCCAAGTAGCTGGGAATATAGGTGTGTGTCACCATGCCCAGCTAACTTTTTGTATTTTTAGTAGAGATGGGGCTTCATCCCGTTGACTGGGTTGGTCTTGAACTCCTGACCTCAGCTGATCCACCCGCCTCGGCCTCGCAAAGCGCTGGGATTATAGGCATAAGCCACTGCACCTGTCCTAATACTTAATGATAAAGACTTTTTAAAATGATAGCCAATTTTATTGAGGATTTACTATTTCTCAGATACTGTATTAATCCTTTACATGTATTAACTCATTTAATTCTCATAGTAATTCTGTTGTGTTTCTCTATGGGGTGGGAGGTGGGCAGTGGAACTGGGATGGGAAAGAAGCATTGAGGAAACAGTTCTAAGTGATGAGCAATGCCTTGAGAACCATCTGGGGAAATCACATCACAGTAGAAAAAGAAGCTTAGGGAAAAGAAAAAAAAGTCCAGAAGCTGCCAGGGCCTTGCTGCTGGGCCTAGGCTGGATCAATGACAACCTCTTGAGAATAGATGCACTGTCTGTCCTGCAGGCTTCTGCCTTCTCCAAGGGCAAATGTATCCCTATTATATTTCTAACTTTTTTTATACCTAAAAACATTGTCCTTTGATCTATACTAGTGAATGGGCAGCAACCTTATCCTTTCCTTTCGTCAGACCAATGTGAACTTGCTTTCTGGTTCTCTCTAATAGTTCTCTGACCTTGGAAAATACATTTATTCTTCTGAGCCTCAGTTTCCTTATCTTAAAAACTACATATCACCTATTTTATAGTTTGTTGTAATGTGACCAATACTATACATAAAGTACCTAACATTGTAGGCACTCAGTGATTCAAGTCGTTATCATTAAGAATACTATTTGCTTTCCACACATTTTACATTTCATAGTAAGGAACTAAATGCAATACTTTCTTATATGGGCATAAAACAGGGATACAATACTAACATTCAGTTTTCATTTAGAAAAAAAAAATCTGTGTAGGAGTATTCATGACTAAGGGTAAGGTAATTACCCTTGAGAACTAAGTAGGCCCCCACAACAGGTCCAGCACAAGGAAAACAAGAACAGGAGGGTGAGAAGAATGCCCCCATGGCTACAACACTGTCAAATTAATACTGCACATTTGTTTAGCTCATGTATATGGTTTGAAAAGATCTAAAAACTTATTTGAAATGGTATTTTCAAAAAATACACACTCACATACATCACATGTTTACACTCCATATCTTACCTGCTCTCCATAGTCTAAGAATATATTAAGCTGGCCAGGTGTTGTGGCTCACGCCTGTAAACCCAGCACTTTGGGAGACTGAGGTGGGCAGATCACTTTAGGTCAGGAGTTTGAGACAAGTCTGACCAACATGATGAAACACCATCTCTACTAAAAACACAAAAAAAGTAGCTGGGTGTGGTGGTAGGCATCTATATTCTCCAGCTACGTGGGAGGCTGAGGCAGGAGAATTGCTTGAACCCGGGAGGCAGAGGTTGCAGTAAGCCAAGATCACGCCACTGCACTCCAGCCTGGGCAACAGAGCAAGACTCTGTCTCAAAAAAGAAAGAAAGAAAGAAAAAATAACATATTAAGCTTAATTCTCTATGCATTTCACATATCCAAATGCACACACATAAAATTAAAAATAACATAGAGACCTTGACCTTAGGTTCAGATTCTATTAACATTTGTTGGGTGCATAGGTATTAGTCATTGTCACATTCAAGACTTTCTTTATCTTTGCAACAACTGTGTGAGGTAAGGACCATCACCACCACAGATGTTAAAGCTGAGGCCCTGAGGCCTAACACCAGGCCCAAGACAGCTAGTAGGTTCCAAACCATGAATTCAAACCTAGTATCTCTGATGCTGAGTTTCAGTTTCTATTCTGCACTATTCTCAAAATATTTCCTACAAATAATCATTAATAACTTTTAACTGCTCTCTATTAATTTTGAATATTCTGCTTCTAGCATTCTGAAGTCCATCCAATCTATGGCAACATGCATACAATTAATTATATTTTAATTAATTCATATTTAACTAAATATTTACAGGGGGGGCAAAGTGCTTCTATCAAACCAATTTATGATTTATTAAAATTGTACTTTGTTGCCTTTTGATTTGAAAATTTCCTTAACCAGGTAAATAAATGCTTACATTAGTTTTTCAGTTTTCACTTTAAAGTAAATGAACTGTGTGTGATAGTTTTTATGTTTTGACAACGAAACAAACAATTGAATCTTAAATAAGCACAGCATTGTCAAACGAGGTCACTGTAAGTCAATGAAAACGACAGATGTTTCAGCTGAGAGGGTAACACACAATATCTGCCTACTTTTACTCCCAAAACAGAATCAGGAAAGAGATGTGGCACATCCATTTTGAGAGAGCTTCTCCTGTCTGATTATGTGTCTTGGCCTCTATACCTTGTGCTTCTCTACTCTGTCTCCAAGGTGGAGAGCCCATGTCACAGATAATCCATAAACCTAAGTTAAGAGCAAGTTTGTCATTGTTATCCTCAGTGAATCTTTTACTGGGCCTATTAGTAACCTAAATACAACGTTGTTTAAGTTTCACATCCTTTAGAGGAACAGGAATAAATAAAATACCAAAAGTGAGAATGAAAGACAAGAAGCAGTAAGAGAAAAATACTCTATAAACAAAACAGCCTAGACACCTGCAGGCACTGGCCTATACGACACACACATAGCATGATCAGCTGATATAGAAACACATTTGCAAAGGAAATTGCAAAACACCCTAAGTAAACTTTGAACTTAAAAGTTAGATGGGAATGGAGAAAAATGCTCAGACCAAACTGCAAAGCAAACATTACAGAGGATAGCAGGTAAGGCATGTAAATATGTATATATTACAGTTGGGGTGGTTTCCAGAAATTATTTGAGGAAGAGAAAATGGTTTATTTTTAAATGGATATTTTTGAGATACAGTAACAAATTATCTCAAAAGGCAGGAAAAGGAGAGATGTCTAAATAAAATGCTCTGTCTACACAGTGAATGAGGGGGACAGATGCACCAAAGATGAAAACAGGGCAATGAGGCAAAGGTGGGACATTAAATCACTGAAGCTCAGGAAAAAGGGTAAGTGCCACAAAAAGAAGGGGCTTTTAAA